CCCCCCCGCGACCCCGGAGCCGGAACCCGACGGCTGGCCGGGGCGCGGGAACCGCTGTCCCGGACCGAGAGGGAGCCTGGGCGCGGGGCGCCGGCGCGGGCGCGGGCGCGGGACGCTGGCCGCGGACCGAGGGAGGGGGCCGAGGGTGGGCGCCGTTCCCGCCCGCAGAGGGCAGGGGGCGCTGTCGCGCTGGAGAGTGGGAGACCGTGAGGCACGGCTTGGGGTTTGGGGGGGCGGTCAAGGCGGCGTCTGTCACCGCAGCTCTCCCTTCTTAACCACCCCAGCCACGTGCCCGCGGGGACCAAGCCGTTCAGTGGGAGCCGTCGGTGCCGTTGCCCTAACTTTGGTCTGGAATAATACACACCCCTCCGGCCAGAAATGGGGACTCGGGGTTCGAGGCAGGGTGGGGGGTTCTTGCAGCCCTACCCAGAGGGCCCGTGGGCCTCCGCGTCAAGTTTCTCTTTCAGTTTTCTAGCTGTCCCCCTCTGGGGAAGCCCCGGTGGGGCGAGGGGAGAGGAAGAGGGGGAGGGCACCTGACTTTCGAGAGCCCCTCCCCAAGCCTCCGCGGGTTCCTTGTTGGAGGGCAGACCGGCCTTCCCCTCCTCACCGTCTTTCTTCCCGCACAGGAAAGCTTGTCTGTGGGAGGGGAGGGGCCTGGCCTGACCGCGGTCCAGGGACGGGTGGGCATGGCAGGGCCAGAGACAGGCCCAGCCCTTGCCTCTGGCGTGGAGACGCCTCTGCAGCCCTCCGTTCGCCCTAGGTGAACGGACATGGCGGGCTGGATCCAAGCCCAGCAGCTGCAGGGAGATGCGCTGCGCCAGATGCAGGTGCTGTACGGGCAGCACTTCCCCATCGAGGTTCGGCACTACTTAGCGCATTGGATCGAGAGCCAGCCGTGGTAGGTGCTCCTCCCCTGCGCCATGCTCTGCGGGTCCCTACCACCCACCCAGGCCCCTTGACCTTTAGCTCTCCTCTTTGTGGTTTCGAGTGATTCTAGTCCCGTCTGTCCCTCCGTGCAGAAGGGGTGGTGTCCCTGGGAAAGGGGAACAGGGAAATGGGACCCTGGGAGGGGAGAGGGGGTGATTCTGGACTCTGATGCTTATGGAGTTGCTGGGAACAAGGCTTGTGGGTTGTGGAGTGCCCTTAGCCTGGAGCCTGGGATTTCCCAGTACCTCTTGGTGCCTGACCTCCCTGCCCAAGGAAGCACAACAGTAGGCTTCTCTCCTCTGCCCTGCCCCAAGGGATGCCATCGACCTGGACAATCCCCAGGACCGAGCCCAGGCCACCCAGCTCCTGGAGGGCCTGGTGCAGGAGCTGCAGAAGAAGGCGGAGCACCAAGTGGGGGAAGATGGGTTCTTACTGAAGATCAAGCTGGGGCACTATGCCACGCAGCTCCAGGTGGGTGTGAAGGCTGGGTCCTCAGCAGGGAAGCAGTGTCTGCCTTCTCTTTCCAGCCTCAGAACCCCTGGGTTTTTTCCTGGCCTGGTCACTGACTCACCATGTGACCCTGAGCTAATCGGCAACTTTTCTGCTCTTCAATTTCCCCCACCTCCTCTTTCTAAATCAGACCTGTCAGATTCCCTTACCATATGACAAAGCAAGGGGTAGGGTGTGTTTGTCCCCAAGAAGAGGAAGATGGGCATTCTAAACAGATCGAGCAAAAGGGATGGAGGTGGACTGAGTCCAAGTTCCTTTGCTGGCGAAAAGAAGACTGACAGCTCCTAGAAATGAGGGAATGAGTGAGCGGGGGAGGGGCAGAGAGAGAGGGAGACACAGAATCTGGAGCAGGCTCCAGGCTCTGAGCTGTCAGCACAGAGCCCCATGCAGGGCTCAAACCCATGAACTGTGAGATCATGACCTGAGCTGAAGTAGGACGCTTAAGCTGAACCGACTGAGCCACCCAGGCGCCCCCTCCTAGGACTCTTTTAAAGGTGGGAGGGCCGCTGAAGTCTGTAGTTGGGTAGGAGAGGAACAGAGTTGCCCTGGAGGCAAGAGCTGGATAAAGGAAGCTTTAATGAAGGATTTAGATGTAAGAGGTACCTTCTCCTTCACTGGGGGTCTAGGGGAGGAAGGGGGAGGAGTATAGAGGAGAGAGAAAGTTTCTGTGGAAGCAGGAAAAAGGTGTAGGTGATAAAGTAATCACAGTCAAGCATTTATTGGAAGTTAACTTGTATTTCTTAGAGAGCTCTTCTTAAATGCAAGCAGCAGGGTGCCAGGGAAATAAAAAGTCCATCCCAGAAGAGGGAGGAAACAGGAGAAAGCTGGAAGAGGAAAGCAAAATAGGAACCCAGGGCCAGGGGTATGGTAGAAAGTACATTGACCTTGGCATTGGATGCCGCAAGTCTTGAGTCATCTGCAACCCGTTTGCCTCTGGGCAAGTACTTAACCTCTCTGAGCATCAGTTTTCTCATCTGCAAAATGCGGATAATAGTTTCTGTGTGTGTCATACTGTCTATATAGTCAAAGGAGATGGCAGATTGGAAGTGCTTTGTAAACTGTGGGTTTCTAAACCAAATGTGAAGATCTGGGAGGGGAAATCGAGTCAAGGAGAGATAAAGATGTCTGTTGACGGCTCCTGAGGTTTCTCAGGGAAAGCCAAGGCAGAGGCTGGAGGAGAGGAAGGTGATGGGGAGCACGTGGCACTGTGATGGCATAGTGGGAGTGGCGGGTAGCCAGTGGTAACTGCCATTGGGTTCTTTCAGAACACATATGACCGCTGCCCCATGGAGCTGGTCCGCTGCATCCGGCATATTCTGTACAACGAACAGAGGCTGGTCCGAGAAGCCAACAATGTGAGTGTCCCATGGGTGTGGGGAGAGGAGCTGGGAAGTCCTTCCACACGCCTTTTTCTCTAGACACAACTGTGTGGGGTTTTTTTTTTTTTTATGTTTATTTTTGAGAGAGAGAGAGAGAGAGAGAGAACAGGGGAGGGGCAGAGATGGAGACCCAGAATGCAAAGCAGGCTCCAGGCTTTGAGCTGTCAACACAGAGCCCGACATGGGGCCCAAACTCACGGCCGATGAGATCACAACCTGAGCCGAAGTCAGACACTTAACCAACTGAGCCACCCAGGTGCTCCAACATGACTATGTTTTATAAACGCTGGCAAGACAGCACCAGGGAAATAAGGGACATGGACAAGTGTGAGAAGCAGCAGTGCATGTAGGTACAGTCCCTGGCTTCATGCCCCGGGTTGGCCACTTACTAGCAGTGTGACTTGAGCCTCTGTTTTTTCAATTATAAATGGGGTTAGTAATAGTATCTACCTTGTAGAGTTAGTGTCAGGATTAAATGAGATGCTGTGTGGGCCAGGGATAGACAGACCAGTGAAACAGAAGAGGAAGCCCTACACACACACACACACACACACACACACACACACACACCTGGAAATTCAACCCACGTTATAGATGGCATCACAAACCACAAGGGAAAAGATTTATCATTTTTTTTAATGTTTATTTTTGAGAAAGAGAGAGCATGAGCAGGGAAGGGGCAGAGAGAGAGTGGGGGACAGAGGATCTGAAGCAGGCTCTGCACTGACAGCAGAGAACCCGATCTTGCCTGAACGCAAGAACCATGAAATCATGACCTGAGCCAAAGTCAGATGTTCAACCGACTGAGCCACCCAGGTGCCCCAAGATTTGTCATTTAATAAATGGTGCTGGGGGTGGTGCTCCTGGGTGGCTCAGTTTGTTAACCGTCCAACTCTTGATTTCAGCGCAGGCCATGATCTCACAGGTTTGTGAGATCGAGCCTGGTGTTGGGCTCCGTGCTGACAGTGCAGTGCCTGCTTGGGATTTTCTCTCTCCCTCTCTCTCAGTGCCCCTCCCCTGGTCTCTCTCTCTCTCTCAAAAAGCAAATAAACATTAAAAAAAAAATGGTGCTGGGGTCAAAATTAGAAATGTTCTCTGGTGGTGCCTGGGAGGAGACATGTGACTGAGTTCTGTGCCAGAAGAGCTAACCCTGGCAAGTTCAGAGAGGCGAGGCCCAGAGAGGCAGAAAGGGCCTCACCCCCCAAACTCTGCAATCATGAAGGCATTGAACACCTGCTCGGACAACAGGGCAAACATTTTATTATCTGCAGTAAAGCCAGATGACTTTCACAAAATGACATCACTCGGTAAAGACCAGAGAATAGTGCCTGGAGCTTATTTATTTGTTGTGGCGGACACTGATTTCAGGAATTTTCCAGTTCATCCAGGACACATTTATGGAGGTCCTGGCTAGGACTAGAGAAACAGATGAAGGCCCAGTTCCCACCTAAAAGGAATTCAAGAAATGATAGATTCTCTAGGGGTAAGCTGGGTACTAAGGAGGCACATATGGAAAAAGTACCTAACTCTGACTGGGGCAGCCTGGCAGGGGGATGTCCTGAGGACAGGGACATCTAAGCTATGGGGGTGGGGGAGGGAAGGGAAAGAAGAAAGAGACAGGAGCAAAAGTAACAAAGTATACGTGTGGGCAGGAAGGCAGGAACCATCTTAACACATTTGAAGGATTGCAGGAACCCCCCCCCCCCCGCCCCGTCATCCTGGGGAGAAGGGGGCCACCTGGGGAACCCCAGTGAGTAAAGCCAGAGAAGAGGCAGAAGGCGGGTCACAGAGTCTTTTGGGAAAACTATTGTGTCCCTTATTGACTTATTGCCACCACAGAGCTATCTGTAAACATATGAATGAATTTAGCTCCAATTAAGAACTACCTGTCTATGTACAGGTGTTGTCATGGGCAGGGGGGAAATGATTCCTTCCCCCAACCATCAGGCTGTTCTTGAGAACCTTTGATTTTGGTTCCACCTACCCCTTGGGGATTTTGTGGTACACAAAACAGACAAGGTCCTAGCACCAGGGGAGCTTACATCCTAGTGCATGGGGGCAGACACGAAAGAAAGAAACACATCTAAAATCAAGACACTTTCAGATAAGAGTGGTGTTATTTTAAATTGGCCCATCAGGGAAAGTCACTCTGAAAGGGTGCCAGTTGAAATGCCCCCCTTGGGAAGCTTTGGTGCCAACATGTTCCAGAGTAATGGAACAACAAGTGCAAAGGCCCTGAAGCAGGAACGTGTTTGTGTATTTAGGAACAGAAAGTAGCCGGTGGGCTTGGGCAGCAGTGGAACTGGGAGTGGAGTAGGCAGAGGCTATCAGCTAGCGCAGTGGAGGCTGTGGAAGGAGTTTGAATTTTATTCTGCGAATAGTTTACTGGAAAGACCCTGAAAACCGTCTCCTCTCAGCCAGATGTTCAAGGAATAGATCAGACTAGGTCACCCACATGGCCAGATCCAAGAAAGTGTTATTGATACCTTCCCTGTAACTCCCCTCAGTTACAAGAATGTCTTGAGTGAGGACACAGATGATGTGTGTTCACACAGCTTTGTTCCCCACTGTGTCCCCAGCATCTCACATGGTCCATGGCATTGGATCAGTGAGTGAATGTGGAATGAGGGGTCATCATCACTGGTAGGAAAACCCCAGGTTTCCTGCTCCTGGGACATTCTGAGTTTTAGTCTCTCCAAAGAGAGTTTAGGTGGACCCTGTTTGGGCAAGTCTGGTGGAGGCCAGGACCACACTAGAAATTTCTCTGTGCTTTATGAAGTTGCCATAATCTGCCAGGTCACCTGGTTCCCTCCTTTCCAACTCCACACCAATTCAGGCAAACGACTATCCTTCCGACTCAAATTACCCTTACCTCTTACCCTAGATTTGAACTTTGCAGTCCGAAGTATTAGCGCTCCCCAGGGCCTGAGGTTTCCTGCCATCCTCACCGCCCAGCTCACTGCTGCCCACACTCTCCCCCTGATGTCCCCAGGGTAGTTCTCCAGCTGGGATCCTGGTGGACGCCATGTCCCAGAAACACCTCCAGATCAACCAGACGTTTGAGGAGCTGCGACTGGTCACACAGGACACAGAGAATGAGCTGAAGAAGCTGCAGCAGACTCAAGAGTACTTCATCATCCAGTATCAGGAGAGCCTGAGGATCCAGGGTGAGGCCAGGGCCGCCTGGGCGGTGTGTGTCATGAGGACAGGAGTGACAACCACTTTGTGAGCTCCTGCAGGGTTGGGGCAGTGTCAGCGTCTGTCTCCATAGAAACCTTACCCAAAGCTTTAGAGAAGTAATGGCCCCTGTGACTGAGCCCGTGCTATGGGCCAGGCTTCGGGCCAAGCCCTTTGCGTGCATTTTTCAATCCTACCTTTACAACAGCCCCAGGAAGTAGGTAGCTGTATTATCCCTATTTTGCAGATGATAAAACTGAGGTTCCAAGAGAACAAGTAATTTGGCCCAGATTGCTTATAAGTTGCAGAATTGGGGGTGCCTGGCTGGCTTAGTGGGAAGAGCGCGCGACTCTGAATCTCAGGGTTATGAGTTTGAGCCCCATGTTGGCTGTAGACTCTACTTAAATAAATAAACTAAAAAAAAAAAATAATAACAAGTTGCAGAACTGGATCTCAATTACAGATATGTCATGAAATCCCTGCACTTTACTAAATAATATTCTCTCCCTAATTGTCGGTATTCAGTGACTACCTCAGTGAATGAATGAATATGGACAAAGTGTTTCCCATTCAGGGGAGGACTTAAGTTGGGAGTCTCCTTGTTGAACCAGGCTGGGGACAGGCAGAACTCCAGAAATGCCCTTTCTTGAGCCTCCCTGATAGGAGATGGAGCTGGAGGGAAGAGATTACAGTGGAAAATTCTCCTGTCTCCTAGGGCTGTAGTTTGCCAACGGCTGTCATGATAAGCATGTGGGGAAACAAAATTTAACTCAGAGCCAATTAACTTCTGGTATAATTTGAGAAGACTTGAGACAGGGCCCATCTTCCCCCAATTCCAGACTGACCCCAGAGCTGTTCCATCCCAACCTAGCGAGAATAGGAAAGTATCAAGTGGCCTTTGCTTTTGTTCCTCTTTCTGTACCTTCTTAAGATAAAACCTTAGGTCATTGACTTTAGACCTTTCTTCTTTTCTGATAGGTATATTTAGAGCTTTAAATTTCCCTCTAAGCAATGCTTTAGCTACATCTCATGATTTTAGATACGCCGTACATTCATAATTATTCAGTTTGAAGTATTTTCTCTATTTTTCTAAGAGATTTTATTTTTAAGTAATGTCTACACCCGACGTGGGGCTCAAACTCACAACCTCAAGATCAAGAGTCACATGCTCCACTAACTGAGCCAGCCAGATGCCCAGTTTGAAATATTTTCTAATTTCTTTTCTGAATAATTATTTTACCCACACATTATTTAGAAGTGTATTGTCTCTTAGAAGTATGTATTTGGGGTTCCTTTTCTAGATGTCATATCATTGATTTCATTTGCTTTTTATCATTGAATTCCACGATTGTCAGAGAACATACTCTGTATGATGTCAATTCTTTTAAATTTAACGAGACTTGTTTTATGGCACAGCTTATACTCTAGCTTGGTGAACGTCTCTTTTGGGCTTCAAAAGAATGTATGTCTCACAGGTTGTTTCATTTAAAAGTAGCAATTTTAGGGGCGTCTGGGTGGCTCAATCCTTAAGCATCTGGCTCTTGGTTTCCGCTCAAGGTTCCTGAGTTCAAGCCCCACCAAGCTGATAGTGTGGAACCTGGGATTCTCTCTCTCCTTTACTTCCTGTCCCTCCCCTGCGCACCTGTGCTCTTTCTCTTTCTCTCTCTCAAAATAAGTAAACTTAAAAAATATATTATATTTAATATTAGTGGACTAAACACCTCATTTAAAAGCAGAGATTGTCAGAAAGCACATGAAAGCAAGACTCAACTATGCTATCTACATTTTAAATTTTAATTAAAAAATTATTTTAAGATTTTTTTTTTTTAATTTTTAAGTATTTTCTGTACCCAACATGGGGTTTGAACTCACAACCCCAAGATCAAGAGTCACATACTGTACCCACTGACCCATCCAGGTGTTCCTACATTAAAATGTTTTTGTTTTTTTTTTTTAATTTTTTTTTCAACGTTTTTATTTATTTTTTTTTGGCACAGAGAGAGACAGAGCATGAATGGGGGAGGGGCAGAGAGAGAGGGAGACACAGAATCGGAAACAGGCTCCAGGCTCTGAGCCATCAGCCCAGAGCCTGACGCGGGGCTCGAACTCCCGGAGCGCGAGATCGTGACCTGGCTGAAGTCGGACACTTAACCAACTGCGCCACCCAGGCGCCCCTACATTAAAATGTTTTAAATGTTTATTTATTTTTGAGAGAGAGACAGAGAGACAGAACACAAGCAGGGCAGGGACAGAGAGAGAGGGAGACAGAATCTGAAGCAGGCTCCAGGCTCTGAGCTGTCAGCACAGAACCTGACATGGGGTTCGAGCTCACAGACTGGGAGATCATGACCTGAGCGGAAGTTGGCCACTTAACCAACTGAGCCACCCAGGTGCCCCTTAAATTAAAAAAAAAAAAAACCACGTATAAAGATATTCTGTGCCAAAATAGAATAAGAAGTCTAGGGTGGTCATATTAATACCTCACAAAGTGTACTTCAAGACAAAAAGTATTATCAGAGATGAAGAAGGACACTTAATAATTATTAAGGTATTAAAAAGATAATAAATTTCTATGCATCTAATAACAAAGCTTCAAAATACACAAAGAAAAACTATTTAAAAACTATTCAAGCTCTCCTCCTTTCCTTGCCCTGTTAGTTTTTTCAATACTCTGGGTTCCTCAACAGATTGCCTAAATCAAAGTAGATGTTGAGTAAAAGTTGGTGGGATGATTCTAGCATGTTTTCTTCCATCTGAATCCATCTCAGACTGATGCAAGAGAAAGGGTGGCCCTCTTCCTAGATTAGGGAATGGGAGAATTCAGGCTATTAGTTCTACCCAAAGCCTTTGACTGGTTGATAGTACTTCCAACCCTATTCTTGGGTTTTCTGTTTCCTATTTATGGATTTGGGTTTGATTCTGGTTTGGGTTTGTACCCATCATGCCATGTCAGTTCAGTCTCATGTATCAAGTTCACCCATCAGAAACACAGACTATCGATCTATTTGTGCAAGGGGAGGCTCAGCTCCCTCCAGTGGAGCAGACAATTGCCTCGTGTCTGCTGGCCTCCCTCCCAGAAGCTTCTGCAAAGTGCCAGGAGAGACCTAAGTGAGTCACCTGCATAGGGAGGTTGGGCCCAGGTGTGGGGCTCACCACCACCTCCCTGGGGGTGGGGCCAGGATTTCCGAGGTGGCTCCAGACTGCTCTGCTGTGTTCCAGGCCTGGACAGTATTCTTCTCTCTCAGTCCCCGAGAGTGGACTCCAAACCGTATTTCCAGTTGTCTTCTAACTCTGGGCTTTTCCTGACTGTTAGAGTTGCTTTAGTCTGTGTGTCCCAGCTTGTGTGTCCATGAGGCAGGACATAGGTCCATGTGAGAGTGCCCTCAGCGGCCTGCCAGGAACTTGCCCAAGACGTGCTGATGCTCACCTCCTCTTGACTCAGGCCCAAGTAAGGACACTGGAATATTCTTTTTTTAAAAAATTAGATAGACCCCACACCCAACATGGAGCTTGAACTCACAACCCTGAGATCAAGAGTTGCATGCTGTATGGACTGAGCCAGCCAGGCACCCCGACACTGGGATGTTCAAATAGGTGATCGGCAAGGCGTAATAACCCCAGCATTTAGGATAGTGGTTACCTTTGGAGGCAGGGACGGATGTGCAAGCAGGGAAGGATGTACAGGGAGTTTTCAACGTGGAAATGTTTGATTTCTTTTTTTTTTTTTTTATGTTTTGTTTATATTTGTGAGAGAGAGAGAGCATGCATGTGCATGCAAGCAGGGATGGGGCAGAGAGAGGGGGGCAGAGTTTCCAAAGTGGGCTCTGTGCTGACAGCAGACAGCCCGATGTGGGGCTAGAACTCACAAACCGTGAGATCAAGACCTGAGCCAAAGTCAAACGTTTAAATGACTGAGCCACCCAGGCACCCCGAGAAATGTTTGATTTCTTTAAGCCGGGTTACTGAAAGACAGGTGTTCTTGCATCATTCTTTCTGCCTTCCTTGGGTCTTGAGAATTTCATAATAGATGTTTTGTAAGAGGGTACTGAGGCCTCACCGACTCCCCTTTCCTGCCATGGATGAGCTTCCCAGCAGCTAGTGTGGAGAGAATCTGCCTCCCTCTCTGGCACCCTTGGGTGCTAGAACCTTCCCTGTCCTGAGAGGATCTTGCTGCTTTCGTGTTGCCAGTGGGCCCTGGACATTCTGTCTCCCCGTCTCCCTCGCCTTTTCCCTTTCGCCCCTTCTCTCCCTCTCCCTCTCCCGCCCGCTCCCTCCCCCTCCCCCCCCCCCCCCCCCCCCCCCCCCCCCATCTCTCCCTCTCTGTCTCCTTCCAGTTGGTCAGCTGAGCTCAGGGTGACCCACCCTGGACAAACAAACACGTTAGGCACCTCCCAGCACCTAGAGAAATGCCTTCTTCCCTAGGAGAGACTGCTGTGCTCCCGGGGATGGGACAAAGCTGGAGATGGGACAAAGCCAGCAGGCAGGGGCTGCCCTGAGGGGGCTCTGATGTGTGGGGTGGGGCTGAGCGGCTACTGGTCTCTGTCACCCTTTAAGCCTGCCCTGGGACCCCCTGACCAGTAAGGACACGCTCATCCCTGCAGCGTGTGCGTGCCGGGCAGTTCCTTGAACGTGTTCTGTGTTCCCACATATTTAATCCTCAGCCACCCACCGAAGCAGGGGCCAGGATTCTCCCATTTTGCACATGGGCAAACTGAGGCACAGAAGCGTGATGCACGAGTTCACCCAGTTAGTAAACGGTGAGGGCACACATCAAACCAGGCAGTGAGGCTCCAAGCTGGACCCCGTGTGGCGTGAGGAGGTCTGGGCAGCCAGCTGTGTAGACTGAGGTGGGACGGGAGGCCGTGGGGCAGGGTCCTCCTCAGCTATACCCTCAGGTTTCCACCTACACACCCCCAGGAGGGGAGATCAAAGGCGAGAGGCCAGAGACCAGAGCCTGCTCATCTCTGGCACCCTTGGCTGCCGGAAGCCCAGCTTGCCATCGGTCAGATGTGTCCCTTGAGGGTCTGGCCTCCAGAACAGGTGTGTGCGTTCCCCTGGGCTTCCTGCAGGAAGCTGGGAGATGATGGTCATGGGTGTCCTGTCCCCTCCTCTAGCTCAGTTTGCCCAGCTGGCCCAGCTGAATCCGCAGGAGCGCCTGAGCCGGGAGACGGCCCTCCAGCAGAAGCAGGTGTCCCTGGAGGCCTGGCTGCAGCGGGAGGCCCAGACGCTGCAGCAGTACCGTGTGGTGAGTGGGATCCGCGTCCTCTCCTCCCAAGCCTTGAGGTGCACATCCCAAGGGGCGCGGGGAAGCCGAGAGAGGGCTAGAGCCAGGAAGAGAGCAGGACCCAGCAGAGCTGGAGGCCAGATCGTTCTCTCCCGTGGGGGGCATGTGGGCAGAGCAGGTTGGGAAGAGGGGAAGGCCTGGGCCTGGGGCCTGGTCCCTGGCCCCCAGCCCTGCCTCCCGAGGCCTGCAGTTGGGCGTGTTCTCCCCACTTGCCTTCAGGAGCTGGCCGAGAAGCACCAGAAGACCTTGCAGCTGCTGCGGAAGCAGCAGACCATCATTCTGGATGATGAACTGATCCAGTGGAAGCGGCGGCAGCAGCTGGCGGGGAACGGAGGGCCCCCCGAGGGCAGCCTGGATGTGCTGCAGTCCTGGTAATGGTGTGTGGGGGGTGGCGGGGGGCAGGAGGGGGCGGCAGGGGCTGGGAGTGGTGCAACCAGCTGCTCGTGGTGCCTCCTGCGTTTCCATGAGCAGCCGGCTCCCTCTGTCCTGCGGCAAGACTTAGTTCGCTAGGGGTTCTGGTTCCTGATGCGGACTTTGGGGCCCCCGTCTGTGCCCCCTGCCCAGAAAGGGAGTCACCGTGCTGGGGAGTGGGGCAGGGCTGGGTGTGCAGAGTGACGCTCGGGCCGATTGGACCCACTTCAGGCTTGCTGCCTCTGTGTATTTCTCTGTGTTTCTGGAAGGCGGGCGCTCTGCTCTGCTCCGCTCCGTGGCCGGGAGTGGCGGCTTAGGCGCAAAGCCTTCCTGGGTGAGGCTGGAGCTGGGTCTTGGGGCTTTCTCCTCGGACTGGAGCCTCCCAGCCTCGAGCCGGGGGGATGGCGTGATGCCATTGTCCTCCCGTTGGCCTGGGGCTCCCGTGCAGGTGCGAGAAGTTGGCCGAGATCATCTGGCAGAACCGGCAGCAGATCCGCAGAGCTGAGCACCTCTGCCAGCAGCTGCCCATCCCTGGCCCAGTGGAGGAGATGCTAGCTGAGGTCAATGCCACCATCACAGACATCATCTCAGCCCTGGTGACCAGGTAATTCCTGCCTCGGGCCACACCCAGCCCCCGTGCGGTTGGCACGGGGGAGGCAGGCGGTGCTTTGCTGATGGTGGGGGTGGGGGTGGGTGGGCTCTTGCTTGAGTCCTTGTCTCTGTTTGCCTCGGGTCCCCGTCCCCGCTCTGTCCTCAGTTGCTTTAGCTGCTTGCTGTTGACCTTGCCCAGTTTCTGTTGTGGACACCATGTGGACTGCCCTTGTCCCCCGCAGCCCATGCCAGCTGCTGAGTCGTTTCACTGCCTCCCCTCCAGCCATCTCCTCTGACTCTCAGTGGCCTCCCTGGGAACAGGGGCGGTGCCATGTGCCTTCATTTGCCTGCTGAGCCCCGGCAGCCTCCCTCCACAGGGGAACCAGACCCTGTGCCCTGAGCCGGCATCATGTCTGGTGTGGTCACTTGTGTCCCCGCAGCACATTCATCATCGAGAAGCAGCCCCCTCAGGTCCTGAAGACCCAGACCAAGTTTGCAGCGACGGTGCGCCTGCTGGTGGGCGGGAAGCTGAACGTGCACATGAACCCCCCCCAGGTGAAGGCCACCATCATCAGTGAGCAGCAGGCCAAGTCACTGCTCAAGAATGAGAACACCCGCAAGTACGTGTGACCCCTTCCCTGCCTTCCCCTCCCCAGGTTCCGGACTGGGATCTCAGATCTACTCTACAGCTAGGGTCCTGGACATTGGGGACAGCCTCCCTCACTGCAGCCATGGACCAGTGTCTCTCCAGTTCATCCCGTCTGTCCTGTTGTATACTTTGTTCTGCTTTGACATATAGTAGGTCAACGTGGGTTGCCCTGTTGGGTTGTTCAAGTTCTTGGGCTGATCACTGGGACGTAGCTGCAATCCGTGCAGAGTTTGGCTCTGTGGTCACCCAAGCCAGCAGAGCAGGCCTCAGTCATGAGAAATGTAGTGCGTTGGACAGGAGAGATGTAGGGCTCTGTGGAAGTGAGATTGGTAGTTGTGGGGCAGAATGATAGTCTCTGGACGCAGGACCAGTGAGGGTGGCTAGTGAGAGAGTGTGGAGAGAGGAGAGGGAATACCTTCAGACACAGAGAACATGGGCCTTGTCTGGAAGGAGAGCATAGAGCAGGTCGGCACGGCTGGAGAACCTGGAGTCCAGGGATGAGGGCCTGCCCCCCACAAAGGATTCAGGGAATGAATGAACTGACGAATGAATGAATGAGGGAGTGAATGAGTCAAGTGGGAGACCTGGTCCCGTGCGTTGAATGTCTATTGTGGGTTCTGGGAATGGGATGATAAAGAAAGCGAAGAGGTTCTCACTCTCTTAGAGCTTACAGTTTGGCTGGGGAGGGAGATAGTTATATGCTTTTCGAAATACGGTGATGTCAAAATGTGATAGATTCTCGAAAGATAATGAAAACAGAATGATATCATAGTGTCTGGATAGATGTGCCATCACCACTCGGGTGGCCAAGGAAGGCCTTTCTGAGGAGATGTTTGAGTTGAGACCTAAACCAGAAGGTCAAGTGTTTCTGGGCAACGGGAAGAGCAGGTGCACAAGTCTCGAGGTAGCAACAAGTTTGCATGTTCAGCAAACAGACAGGCAGCATGGCTCGGTCCTGAGTGAGGGGAGAGGAACCCACTGAGGCCAGGGAGCTGGGCAGAGTTTGACCATGACCATGGGGATCCTTGTGGGCTATGGTCATGGTTGTTGGTTTTTTTTGTTTTTTTGTTTGTTTGTTTTTTAGAGAGAGAGGGCAGAGAGAGGGAGAGAGAGAAGCAGGGCTCGCCCAAAGCGGGGCTCGAGCTTACCTGATGCAGGGCTTGAACTCACCAACCCTGAGATCGTGACCTGAGCCCATCTGATGCTTAACCAATTGAGCCAGTGAGGCGCCTCTGTTCTTTTTTTTTTTTTTTTTTTTTTTAATGTTTATTTTGAAAAAGACAGAGTGCACGAGTTGGGGAAGGGCAGAGAGAGAGAGAGAGAGAGAGAGAGAGAATCCCGTGCAGGCTCTGCACTGTCAGCACAGAGCCCGATTCTGGGCTCGATCTCACGAACTGTGAGATCATGACCTGAGCCGAAACCAAGAGTTGGATGCTTACCCGACTGAGTCACCCAGGTGTCCCATGGTTTTTATTTTAAGTGCACTAGAAGCTGCCAGAGGGCCCTGAAGACCCCCACGTCAGTTCCAACGCTGAGGGAATTTTTAACCTAATGACAGAGACCCAGACTTTGGGTAGACTTTGGAGACTTTGCTGTACCCTCAGGTTAATGAGGAAGTAAGCCCGAGACACGGCGAGGAACACTCTCAGGGGATGGGGCAGGGGCTGCTGGCAGGGCTTTCTGGCATGAACATCTGGCTGAGGGAGCGCACAGAGCCGTGCTCCTGGCCTGGGGCCCATGTGGCAATGGGGCTCCCCTGTCCTTCACAGCGACTACAGTGGAGAGATCCTGAACAACTGCTGTGTGATGGAATACCACCAAGCCACCGGCACCCTGAGTGCGCACTTCAGGAACATGGTGAGGACAGGGCCTGAGCCCTGGAGGGAGGGTCTGCCCAGGGCTGAGTCCTCATAACCAGCCGCTTCCTCCTTGTCCCCCTCTGACCTCCCACTCTGCAGTCACTAAAGAGAATTAAGCGTGCTGACCGGAGGGGCGCAGAGTCTGTGACGGAGGAGAAGTTCACAGTCCTGTTTGAGTCTCAGTTCAGTGTCGGCAGCAATGAGCTTGTGTTCCAAGTAAAGGTGAGGCCCCGCTTCTGCCAACCCCCTCGGGTCACCCAGAAAGGTGAAGACCCACCTGAGGCCACCTGGCTGGTTTGGGGAAAGCCAGAGAGCTCTGGATCCTCACACGGTCACGGACCATTTAGCCGTGAGGCTGTCAGAAAGCCTGCTCGCTAGGTTATAAGCTGGCACCAGCCAACAGAACTTAGGCCATGGACCAAGAAGAAATGTGTTCTGGGTTTTTTTGTTTGTTTGTTTTTGCTTTGGTTTTGTTGGGAGGGCCTGTGGGTGGGATTGTGGGTGAGGAGCGAGGGCCGGGAGTCTTGCCTACGTGAGGGCAAGGTGGTGGTCGTGTGCCTTCTACGTTCACTCCTTTGCCATAGACTCTGTCCCTTCCCGTGGTTGTCATCGTTCATGGCAGCCAGGACCACAACGCTACCGCCACTGTGCTGTGGGACAACGCCTTCGCCGAGCCGGTGAGTACTCGTGGGACCGCCACTTCTGCCCCCTCCGGGCCCTAGGAGTCTCCCTGCATCAGTCCCAACCACTTGGGCCCTGCTGGGTGGTCCCCTGCCAACCCCAGGGCCACACCAGAGCTGAGTTGAGGTGACGGGCAGCTGGAGTGAGTGCACTGCCCGTGGCCTGTCCTCGGCTCCATCTGGGCTCCCGGGACTTGGGACTGGGATCTCCCGGGTCTGTGAGCATACTCAGCCTTTGGGCTCTGGTCTCTGATCTTCCTTTGGCTTGTGTTTTGGGTCCCTGATCTGTCCCGGACGCCTGGTCTGGGTCTCTATCACTGCGTGACTAGCCCTTCTGCCTTTCTTTTGCTCGTGTTTGTGTCGCCTTTTCCGAGTCAGTCTCAGTCCCTTCTTGCATCTCGTGGTATCTGTGTATCTGAGTGTGTTTGTGTAAGTATTTCCTACGCCTTCAGTCTGCCTTTTCTTCTCTCCCTCGCAGGGCAGGGTGCCATTTGCCGTGCCCGACAAAGTGCTGTGGCCGCAGCTGTGTGAGGCGCTCAACATGAAATTCAAGGCCGAAGTGCAGAGCAACCGGGGCCTGACCAAGGAGAACCTCGTGTTCCTGGCACAGAAACTGTTCAACAGCAGCAGCAGCCACCTTGAAGACTATAATGGCATGTCCGTGTCCTGGTCCCAGTTCAACAGGGTGAGGGACGCGCCACCAGGCTGGGACCAGTCTTTCCCCACCTCACAGACAGGTTACTGGCTTTGGCCAGCACCCCATCCTTCACCCCCAACTGCCCTCTCCTACAACCGGGAGAGACGAGGGCTAGTACCCCAAGGAACAGAGGCAGGGCAGCAAGAAAAACGCACTCAGCTCTGAGAGCCAAAGCAGAAGGATGGAAGGAGCTGGGGGGCTGGGAGTCAGGATCCTTGAGTCCCTGTCCTAGATATGTTAACTAAGTGGCCAGGCCTTTCCCTTCTCTGTGCCTCAGTTTCCCCATCTAAACCTTTGGGCAGAAATGACTTCGGAGGTCTTGCCCAGCTTGGACAATTCTAGGCACCTCCTACCCGCACCCCTGCGTCTGAAAGGCAAGAGGCAGTTTCCCCTCTCGTCCCTAAGCTACGGGTTGGGGGCCATGTCCATTTATGGACCGCTGGAGTGCTGGGCAGGTAGGATGAGGAACTGGGAGAGGGTATTTGTGAGGACAAGAGGGCACTGTTTCCTGGGCCACCTGTGACAGCGGGGCCACATACCCTGACTTGGGGTATCCTGGGGGCTCTCAGGAGAACTTGCCGGGCTGGAACTACACCTTCTGGCAGTGGTTCGATGGGGTCATGGAGGTGCTGAAGAAGCATCACAAGCCTCATTGGAATGACGGGTGAGAAGCGGAGGGGCCTGGGGGTTGGGAGGGCATGGGCTCAGGGGACACGGGCTGCTGGCCCGGGAGTGACACTGTATGCTCCGTATTTCTAGGGCCATCCTAGGTTTTGTGAATAAGCAACAGGCCCATGACCTGCTCATCAACAAACCCGATGGAACCTTTTTATTGCGCTTTAGCGACTCTGAAATCGGGGGCATCACCATTGCCTGGAAGTTTGACTCTCGTGAGTGCCCTACTTTGCCCACACTCCAGCCCAGGAGCCCTGACGACCATTTCCTTGCTCCCCATTCTCCACCAGGCCTGCATCCTTGGAGGGTTCCCCAGGGGAAAGATCAAAACAGACCTCAAAGTAGAAGAGTGTTGCTCAGAAATACATTCCCTTTCTACTGTTTTCCATTGCGGAGAACCTAAGATCACTGGCCCCATAGCCTCTGGAGTTGCCAGGGGACTTCTTCAGCAGTTCTGAGTTCTCCCTTCTCTGCCCTGCCCTAGTCTTGCTGGTATCGACTTGCTTGGTTTGCCGGGTAGAATGTTCTTGCGGTCACTTACTCGCCTTATGCCCAGGAGCACAAGACAAGGGGGAGGGTCGCAGAGCAGGCTAGTAAAGGCCCAAATGTCCCTGCAAGTCAGATCTCAAACCCCATCACCCTGACCCTCCTCTTGAGGGTGGTGAGTGGTGGGAACGAGCTTGTCCTTTTCACAGCTGACCGCAACCTTTGGAACCTGAAGCCGTTCACCACGCGGGACTTCTCCATCCGGTCCCTGGCTGACCGGCTGGGGGACCTGAGCTATCTCATCTATGTGTTTCCCGACCGACCCAAGGATGAGGTCTTCTCCAAGTATTACACCCCTGTGCTCGGTGCGTCCTGCCCTGATATTCCCGAGCCCTTCCTCAGCCTGTGGACAGAGCTCTCGGGGGCCTAGGCAGCCGTGACTCCTCACAAGAAGCCAGGGGCCATTTCCCCCAGGGGGGCTGGGCCCATGGTTTGGTGCCGAGCACGTGGAGAGGGTATCGGGGCTCACAACTGAAGAGGGCAAACAAAGCTTCTGACCCGGCTTTCTCCCCAGCTGGGTGGATTCTCACGTCTGCACCCCTGAAGGAGGAGGCTGCCCCACTGGCAAAGGAAGGGGGGGGGATAATCATACCACAGATAGTGCACAACTCCCATCTTAATCAGCTGCTCTCACAGCTCCCCACCCTCAAACCTACCTGTAAGGGGAGAGTAGGAAGCAAAATGGACAGGTTTTTCTCCTGCAACCTGTCCCCAGTCCACTGTTGGGTTTGCTGCTTTGTGTTGATTCAGTTTCCTCGACAGGGGTGGGACGGGGAGAGAGAAAGCAAAGGACCAGAAAAGGGAGCAGGAGAAGGGATGAGATGGAAGCCAGAGTTCTGGGTGGCTGTCAGGCTGGGTCCACCAGCAGGTGTTTATGGGAGTCTGTGGGAAATCTAACCCCCGCTGAGGCCCCCCAGTGGTGCGGGTGGGAGACCGACTTCATGGGGTAGGTTCCCCTTCCTGGGAGCGCCCAGACACTTTGGTTCTCATCACCCCCCCCCCTCCCGCCACTCCCCCCACCCCGGCAGCTAAAGCGGTGGACGGATACGTGAAGCCACAGATCAAGCAAGTGGTCCCTGAGTAAGTGTCCAGGGTCCAGCCCTGGTCTCCTGCTGCCTCCTCTCTCTTCCCCCCCCCCCCGGTTCCCCTCACCGTTCACTGCTGCCCCTCCCGCTCACGGGCCCGGTGGGGCCCAGCACCCCCTGGCCCTCTGAAACCTGGCTCGGCCCTGGAGAGGGAACTGAGCTTAGTCTCAATGGGACCAGGACCCAGGACCCCACTCCCGCAGCCGGAGCCCCAGGCCCAGGGGGCGCTTTGTGCTTCCACACCCCAAAGAGATGTAAACATGCCCCCTGAGCCCTCCCCAAGTCAGCCGCTGCCCTGAGGTCACTGAGGCTTCTCCTGTTCCTCCTGCAGGTTTGTGAATGCGTCTACAGACTCTGCCGGGGCCAGCGCCACCTACGTGGACCAGGCCCCCTCCCCAGCCGTGTGCCCCCAGGCTCATTATAACATGTACCCACAGAAGTAGGTTGTGTTCTCTGGGGCTCCGCAGGGAGGAGCTGGGGCTGGGGCTGTGTTCTCTGGGGCTCAGGCTGGGCCCCGGGGGGCTGGTGGACAAAGGGACCCAGAGCTCCTGTAGGTCTGAGACCACCCAGGCCAGGCACCAGCATATGCCCCGGTACAGGGAGGGAGATCAGCTGGTAAAAAGCATAGAGCATAAGCTGTATATAGCAAGGTCCTCACTCCTGGTGCTGACTAGCTGTGTGACCTTGGGAAAATTATTGAACCTCCCAGATGCTCTGTTTCCTCATCTTTAAAATGGGGGCAAGAATACCTTTCACATGGGATTGGGGTCAGGATTGAGGTAAAGCATTTAGCTCAGGTGAGGCTGTTGTAAGGACGGCTACAGACGGGATGGTTGTTCTTAGGAGTTGAGTGTTAACAGGGTATTAATTGCTTCTCTCTGGAGTTCCCAAGGTAGAGAATTAATTCTCTTCTGGGCTGTGGGTGGCCCCAGCTGGATGTCTAGGTACCTGGGAGATACCAGCTACAGTGGGATGATGGCCGTAGGCTTGAGGGTCACAAAGACTGCAGTGCCAATCCTGACTCTGTTTGCCAGCCAGGGGGCCCTGAGCAAGTTTCCTACCCTGGTCGAGCCTCAGTTTTCCCCTCTGTAAAGTGGACTAAATACCCATCTGACAGGTGGCTAAGGATTGGGGCAACGTGGTTAAAAGGCCACTGTAGACAGCCTATGACTGAATGGAATGGCGTTGTGGTGGGCAGAACTCCCTGACCCAACCGCCTCGTTGTGCAGAGGAGGAGAGGGACAGGGACGGGGAGATGAACTCTCTGAGCCCACTCAATGAGCCAACGAAAGTTGAGACTAGTGCTTGAGTGTCTCCCGGTGAGCCAGTGACTGACGTTTTCAACTCGGAAATGGTGGTGGTGTCCAGCCAGAGCCGGTCCTATTCCCATGAGGCTGTGGTCTGAGCGGGGAGCGGGCCAGGGCCTGTGACGCATGCCAGCTCCCTCCGACCTCCCGCTCTCTCTCTCTCTCTCTACCAGCCCTGACCCCGTCCTTGACCAGGATGGAGAATTTGACCTGGATGAGACCATGGATGTAGCCAGGCATGTGGAGGAACTCTTACGCCGCCCGATGGACGGTCTGGACCCCCGCCTCTCCCCGCCTGCTGGTCTTTTCACCTCTGCCCGAGGCTCGCTCTCGTGAATGCTTGAATCCCCCACTTCTCTTTGGGAACAACGCTCAGTGTGAGGGGTTCATATGAATTGTGATGTTAACATTGCTGTGCATACTGATGCCTCTGCTGGCAGCACATGTGCAGGTGTGTGTGTGCACGGGCGCACGAGGTGGGCCTGCCTTGCCCTTGCCCTCTGGGTACGTGGTTGCGGCGGCACCACCACCTTTCTCTTCAGATCAAGGCATCCCAACAGCCCGCCGGGCCCATCTCTGTTGTGGAAGGGGGCTCAGCTTCCTCTGCTCAATGCAGGCAAACCTATTCCGCCGCCGGGGCCTTTACTGCCTAGCAGCTGTTTGAATGAAATTAGTCAAGAAGGGGCACGGAAACAGGTAACTGCCTCTAAGCTTAAGTTTTGCTCCTGAGTTAGAAGCTTTGCCTCCCAAATGCGCGCATACGCTGTTACGTACGTGCATCTGTTCTCATGCACGTGTGTTGGTCTATTGATTCTTTCGCTCGGGAGGCTGGGGTTCAATTTTGTGTAATATTTTATACTTCACATAATGAATATGGACTCGAGACTTTTTGTGAATGGAGAGCTTATCTAGACCACGGCCCTCACACAGCGCAGATGGGTCATTTGAGCCTGGGTCTGTCAGAGCTGCTCTGAGTATGTAGCTTCTTAGCCTCCTGGCGTCCAGCCAGGGGACTTGGGCGTCCCATCTGTGGTGCTGTTGCCCGGTTCTGCTATCTCTTTTCAACCGCTATCCCCTCCCACGCACCCGGCCCCAACCTTCTTTCCCCGACTGTCTGCAACCTTGGTTGCGGGAGAGGTGGGAGAGGGGCGGGGACTGGTCTAGGCCATGGCGGGCAAACAGGGGGCCAGGGACTTTGCAGGGTGGATCCCCTCCCCTCCCGGAAAAAGCTGCAGCAAGAGACAGCCGCAGACCAGCCGCACGCTGCCTGCCTGTGGAGCCTGGAGTGAGGGGTAAAAGCTGATCTCGTTCCCCCTCTGCCTGGAACACAGTTGCAGAACGTTGAGGTCTGAGAAGACCTTGCTCCCAACCTCACGAGCTCCTCCCTCTGGGGCAGCAGGTGGCGGAAGGTCGAGTCTCAGGTTTAAACATCTCTGAAGGAAGGTGGGGACGAGAAGAGGGATTCTTGTGTACTTTGTACATAGGCCACCAGTGTTTTTGAGTAAAGTATTTTTTTCATAAATTTGCTGGTGTGGCTCTTAGTTGGGCAGCCTTGGGTAGTGTGGGGGGCGGTCACTGGAGCCAGTTATTTTCTTCCCTCCCCCGTGGCTGATGCCGTACCCTGCACTCTGCTCCCTTTTCTGTGTGTCAAGGGTGCCCACCACCCCTGGAACGCCGTCTGTGCTTCTCAGGAGACGAAACTAGGGTTTGAGGCCTGGGGAAAGGTGGGGCAGGAATTCTGGGGTGGAGGCAAAAACCGTGCTTGGGGCTCGCCTAATCAGCTGCTGCTATAAGCAATCCTGAAGTCTTTGGCCCAGGGCCAGGCCAGTGCCAGGGGCAGCAGAGAACCTCACCGTGTTCCCTTCTCCCCGGGCCTCTTCCCGAACACCAGCAGGTGGCACCATCCCGTTGCCACCAGCGTTTTTCAACCGGCCAACCGGGAGGGAAGGAAGTTGGGCCAGGAGGATGGTCTCCCCATTTGGACCCCCTGGCACGCTGCCGGTCCAGGGGAGGTCACTGAGGCCCTTGGGGGAGCGGGCTGGGGAGCCAGGACCTGCTGGTGAGGTTTCTTCACAGCTCAAAGCAAGGGAAGAGGGGTTTGCAGCCTGCCCGAAGGAGGCGCAGGGGCCCAGCAAGGGGGCTGGCGGGGGTGAGGAGGCAGGGAAAGCAGCCGCTAATCTCCCCTTCCATCTCTGCAGGGGGAGGCGGCTGGCTGCTATCTCACCCAGCGGCGGTCTCCATGGCACTCGGCACAAGGGGAGGGGGTGGGGAGACAGCCGAGTGGGCGCGTTGATGTCTGTGAATTATCACCACCGGCTGCCACGCCGTCGGAGGCAGCCAGTTAAGTGCTTACGTCCATCCCCACTGAGAGAACTGAAGAGAAAGTGATAATGGAACAACTGTGGAGGGGAGGCCCTGGGTGGGGTGGGAGTATCTACACCCCAAGCCCCCTTTGGTAGCTTATCTGACCCCAGGCAGGTTGGTGCAGCTTGCAAAGGCCTGAGGAGAGAGTGGGGGGAAGGAAGAGGGAGCAGGGAGGCCTCCGCGGAGACCTTTGTGCAGAAAGAGTACAAACCTGGCTCCTCCCGTCACCCCTTTACCTGGAAGCTGCCGGCCGACCTGAGATGGGGGTGGCACCGTGCCCCAGAGCTGGGCCCCAGGGCGTGGGCTAAGGTAGCAGCCTGGGAGCAGGGGCAACCTGGGAGCAGGCTCGGCCTAGGTGTGAGGCCCCCCCAGAACTCAGGCAGGGGAAGGGGACTCGCCAGCAGCCAGAGGCAGCGCTGCCACGCCCTCAGACAGTTCCTATATAACTTTTATTTCTGGAAGTTAAAGTAGATACAGCAATATACAAAACAAAAACAAAAAAACTCCACAATAATATAAATTTTTACACTATGAAGTATACATTGGAATTTGACGCAGTGACCAGGCCAGTGGCATACAAACCACCGCGCCGGCAGGTTGAGCCATCTATGGGAACCCCTTGGCTGGGCGGGGGACGGGCAGGGGGAGACAGTGGAGAGAGAGTGGGCAGGTCCTGGAGGGCTCCGTTCTTTTAGGGAGGGGCCAGTCTCTGCCCCTCTCAGAACTCTCGCTACTATCAGAGTTAAAACCTGATACACATGCTACCTCAAAGCCATGAACGTTACAATATCTGCTCCAGGGGAGCCTGGATCCTTGCCCCAGGTCCCTCTGATCTAAATCTCTCAATTTCTGAGTTAAGCTTATTATAAACTGAAGAGTGTTGCTGGAGAAGGGAGAGCTCTGTACTACCTCCCAACTGTTTCTAGGCAGGACGACAGGGATGGCCGAGCGCAACCTGTTTGTCTTGGAGAGAAGGTCCTCATCCCCTTAATTCTGAAACTGGTGAGTGTGGGTAAAACAAATAGCGCTCCACAGAAACTCTGACCGACTGAGATAAGGTGGTCTGGGACCACCCAAGCTAGTCGGGCCTCTGGATTGGGGCGGGGGGGGGGGTGGACCAAATATCAGAGACCATGAAGTGTTTCGAAATGCACAGTAAATGGGAGCTGTTCTCCCTCATCCGCGGGGCCTCAATGGGGAGGAGATGGTCACCAGCACTGGGGGGAGGCCGAGGTGCACACCCTCACACGAGGGACAGACTTCGAGCTTATCACTAAGCCTTTGCCAATGGGTTAACCACGTGAAGTGATTAAAGGTGCCTCGGGAAACCACCAAGAAACCAGGATAAAAACCATATTCCCTGAGCTCAACTAGACCCTTGGCTGGGGCCCCACAGTCTGAGTCATGTTCGATCTCTAACTCTCACCTTCTTATTCCAGGATTCCTAAAGCAAACAGGACAAGGGGGCCTTCAGATACTGGAAGGAGCCATACACAAGGGGGGTCAGGTGGAGAAGGAGGAAGGAAGGATCATCCCATCCCTTATAAGGCACCCACAGGAACAACCCGGGCTCTGGAACAGGAGCACAAGTCCAGGCAGACGGGGGACAGGTTGTAAGCACTCCTCTGCGCAGCCTTACCTACTAACAGGCCGACACATTAAAGGGGAAAATAAAAACTTTGTTTATTAAAAAAAGTCTAGAATGTTTCGGTTGTCCTTCAACCTTCCTATGTCAAAACCAAAGGCCAAGCCACAGCTTCAGATGTCTTTTAAAGAGCTGGATCTGAAGCCCATTTCCGGATTTCTATAAATTATCAGCCTGAAGAAAGCTGAATGCCTAAAGCACCAAGAAGGCTACTGACTGAGTTTTCTTAAATACAGAAAAGGCTATGCCGATACAGTGTTTTTTTTGCCCTTGAAAAAAAAAATTTTTTTTTTTTTTTTTTTAATTTAAAAAGAAACCTCGGGGCTGTGAAAGTCCTATCTTCTATTTGGATGTTAGCAAGGTTAAAAGTGCAATGTCAGCAGTAGCACAGCTACAGGCAGCCTGTGGCGGCCGCTCGCAGGAGCAGGCGGAGGGCTGTGCGGGCACCGGGAGGCACTTGTCTAACAACGCAAGCTGCTGAGAAAGGAGGGTGGGGGAGCAAGAAAAGACAAGAACGTTTCCTTTCTCCCCCTCTTGCCACCCCTTCCGCATCCCCTGATGGCGGTCTCAGAGAACACGTTTCTTATTTGCATTTAGGTCAAAGCGTATCACTCACATTCATTCATTTCTCTATTGTGAAAAGTGCCCAGGTCGCTCAAAGGTAGCAGGAGTAGGAGATTTAAAAAAACAAAAACAGTGCTCGCTTCGGCAGCACATATACTAAAAAAACAAAAACAAAAACAGAACCAAAACAAAACAAAAAACCCAACAAAACAAACAAAATCTGGAAGCACAGAGTTAGAGGAGTTTCAGACGATCTGGGGGTTGGCTGTTTAAGGGGTGGTGGGACACAGGGAGGTGCCTCCGTCATCTCTGTCTGCAGCCTCAGCCCGCCGCTCCTCACATTGGGGAGGTGGCGCACTCCGAGGTCAACTCCATGTCGAACGTGAGGGATTCTGGGGGGGAAGACCGGGAGAGCCAGTTCAGTTGCCTGAGCCCCAACAGCTGGCAGGGCACCCCCGTCCCCCGCCCGAGCCCTTCAAAGGACAGAGGCTCAGCCCACGGCCAAGACAGGGTCGGATCGTCCAGATTTACACTCCTCCCTACAAAGTCTTGCCTTCTGGAAGGGCTCAGTCCCCTTCTTCCCTTAACTCGTTCCCAACTGTCCACATGTAAAGAAGATCTAAGGCTGTCCCGTTGAATGTGGCCGCCTGGAAACACAGGTGGCTACCGAGCATCAAAATATGGCCAGTCCCAGTCGAGGTGGGTGTAGCTGTGAAACACCTAGCACGTTTCAGAGACTTAGCACAAAAACAAAAATCTCATCAACGTTTTCTTACGTGTTAAAACGCTAGCGTTTGGGATTTATTGGGTTACAGAAAATGTATCATTAACGTTAACCTCCCTTGTTTCTTTTCACTGGTTTTAATATGGTTATTAAAAAAGTCGCACTTACGTGCGTGGTGCACGTTTGGTTTCCAAGGGACAGCGCGGCTCTAGGACCTCCCTCTACCGGTCTGCGTGGCCAGCTCTGGGCTCTGTGCGTGGGACCGTGGGCCCGGCACACAAAGGGGGCACACTTCCCTCCCAAGGACAAGGTCTGTCGACCAAATACTCACCAAACTGCCCTCCTGCTGAGGGTTCAGCACCTTCACCATTATTTCCAAACTGCATCAATGAATCTAAAGTGCGGGGGGACATCGGCAGGTCAATGGTATTGCTGCAGGTCGTTCTGTAGGAAATGGGGAGCAGCAGGAGGGGAAAGGGCCGGGTTGACAAGACACAATGGAGAAAAAAAAAAAAAAGAACAAAACACACACACACAAGCCATCAAACTCTGGTCTCCAACAGAAAAATAAAAAGCTCAAGCTTTTTAAACACACAGGGTCACTCTGAGTACTACGCGTAGCCCAGGGCATTCCAGCCCCTCTCAGGGTAGCTCTCACCCAGTGTCCTACTCCCGGGATAACTGAGGACACCGGAAATGAAGGCCAAATTTAGAAGGGAAGCCACTTACGGTGTCACACAGATAAACTTGGTCTTCAGGTATGGGGCAGCACCTGGGAAGAAGAAAAGTGGGGCTTACTATGGTGACCCCACTGTGGGTAGAGGGCAGGTGGAAGCCGGCCGCCTCATCAGGGCAGACGTGCCCCTCCCTCCATCCTCGAGCAGAGATCGTTTTGAACCTGTCTCCCCTCAGGGCTGCCCCCTCCACCACTATGTACTATCTGACGTTCTAGGTGCTTGCAGCTGGGTAGTTCAGTTCTTGCTGCTACGCTTTCCAGAGCCGCAGAGACTTCTGAGCACACACCCTTGTCCCACCTGAGCCTAGACCAATGCCACCTTTGTGTGTTCATTCTCTCCCTAGATGATGTGAACATTTAACTGCCTGTGTGTGGTCTGAGGATCGTATCCTGGCCTGGTCGACTCTCTTAGGTAACTTCTCTGCATGCAGGAACGGAGCCTATGCAGTCTGGGCTCCAACACCCCCGTCCTGCTGGGACACCAAAGTCACCAAGTCTTGAAGAGAATATGCAGATTGCTAATGCAGTTCCAAGGCCCAGGGTCACACCTTCCACTCCTATGCCACTGATCTGCCTCTCCCACATTTTTAGGTGAGTATAGGAGTAACCCCCCAGTTGGGTAACTACACCGCACAAAAAGCGGCTGCTTTATAAAGGGAGGCTGGCTGGTATTGCAGCACCGTCGACTCTGGGCTGGAAAACAGGAGGCCAAGGCCTCATTATGTCTTCGGCAGCTAGGAGACCTGGAGCAAAGCACTTTCTACACCAAGAGGGAGGCGGAAGAGGGAGGCATCCATCTCCGTCATTTGTAATTCTTGTTCCATACTTAGAAATGTGAGGACTGGAATAAATGAATTTTAGGTGCTCAATGTTTACACCAAGAGGTCCAGGAGACTTGGAGATACTGGCACGACATCTGGGAGAGTCAGGTGAACAAATCACTTGGGGGGCATGGGGCCCGGTGGGTGGGCCAAGAGAAGCACAGTTAAAAAGTTTGAGGTTTATAGACAGACCAAGGGATCAGAAAGTATGGTGACAATCTGAGAAAAGGCATTGTCAGGGGTCGCTGGACTGCCAACCAAGGTTATTTTTGGCCAAGAAATAGATTCATACGGTGCAGAATCCAAAGATGTACCCAGGCAGGGTTCTGGTGTCTTCTAAATCCACTGTGGTGCAGACCTGAGGGGAGCTGACATCTCAGACAGAAAAGGATTTAGTTCCCCAGTGATCAAGGTAGCTGAGAAAACTAGCTTCAGCCTCAGATTCAGCAAGAGCAGAAGCAAAGGAGAAACAGGACTAAACGCCGAGCTCTGGCTGTGTACAAAGTTGTACATATACTTCATCCAATTTGTAAGGTAAGGGGGTTGTCATTTCTAAAAAGGGACTCTCGGGGCGCCTGGGTGGCGCAGTCGGTTAAGCGTCCGACTTCAGCCAGGTCACGATCTCGCGGTCCGTGAGTTCGAGCCCCGCGTCGGGCTCTGGGCTGATGGCTCGGAGCCTGGAGCCTGTTTCCGATTCTGTGTCTCCCTCTCTCTCTGCCCCTCCCCCGTTCATGCTCTGTCTCTCTCTGTCCCAAAAATAAATAAAAAACGTTGAAAAAAAAATTTTTAAAAAGGGACTCTCTCCCTCAAGCCATCGGGAAATACTGTGTGGGGTCTGGTGGAGAAGTAAGGAGGA